CATGATATGTCCACCTCTTTTAAATTTAGAAACTCCTTAAGATCCCTCTTGTTGAATCTAAAATCATATCCCTTTTCCATAGTCATAACCCCTAATGACATTTTAATAGTAATGCCTTCTTTCATATTATTAAATTTCACACATTTGTGCTAGGTAGGGAAATTTAACAGCATTTTTAAGTTCTTGTTAAACCATAAAATCAAAGAATTATATAATTACGTAATTAATTAACTCAAAGAAACAAGTATAATATTAACTTATTCTTTACCTCTAGCAATGATGTATCGATTTTTGACACTAGATTTTTAGGCCATAGAATGAAAGAACCTTTTGCTTGACCAACTGTTGTCATCTTAGAAGTGGGAAATTGCACATGTGAATTATCTTCATTCTTTTGAACATGTGTAATTGTCACCCTAACTTGATCCTCTTTAATCTACTAATGATGAAATGTGGACCCAAGCTTGTATACTTGACCTTCAATAGTAACATATTTTTTGTTTGGAATTTTTAGATAAAGATAACAAGAAGTTCCTTTATTGTCATATGGTATGGGGGGATTAGGATTAACTAGTGCCATTGTCCCTAGTAGATTATTCCTACCTTTTGGGGTTGGTATCGCCAACGAAGCCTAGATACAAATCTATGTTAAATTAAATTAAACATAAACATATGTTAAATTAAATTAAAGATAAATTTATGTTAAATTAAATTAGGTACTACAAACTAGGGATATATGACCCCTTGTGTTCTTAAAATAATTCATGAAATTGTTGAACCTCGACTCAAGTATCATCACTAACCTTGGCCACCAACTAATGGATCTCATCTCTGGACATACCTCCAGGAGAACTTTGTGGAGCTAGTCCAAAGTATTGCCCGAGACCAACTCCTCTACTAACCCCTTTAACTCCACTAGGGTGTTCTAGCTTTTCAATTACAATTGATAGAATATATGTCTTTCCACATAGAGTGAAGGAACTTTGGGAAACTTACTCCTCAAGTGAATCTTACAACATACAAGCCAAGTAATTACTTAATCTTCAATGACTATTAATCATAAAAATAAAACTATTTAACTATTTAATCATAAAGTTAAACATACATAATTCTTCACATGCTCAATCCCTTACCTTCCTTTGTCCAATATACTACCTAATCCTTTACTTTCCACTTGTCCTTCCTTTGCCTTATGCTTCACCTTATAAGATGTTGATCCATTGCATTCTCTCTATTAGGTCTATCACCCAATCCACTGGGCTCAAAAGATGGTCTTATGATCTTTGAATATACTAAAAACTACACTATATGATGATGATGCCAAATATTCAAAGCAAAAACCACAGCTTCAAGCTTTATATCATGTGCTAGATAATTTTCCTCATGCGGTCTCAATTGTCAAAATGCATATGCTACAACTTGCTACTCTTACATCAGTACACATCCTTGACCTTTCAAAGAAATATTTGTATAAACCTCAAAAGACAATCACGGATTAGGTATAATTAACATAGGCACTATAGTCAACTTTTCTTTTAAATTTGAAATGTAGCCTCATACCTGTCATCCGATATAAGCAGCTAATCTTTCCTAGTCAATTTAGTTAATGGAGAAGCAATTTGAGAAAACACTTGGATAAATGATTGATAATATCCAGCTAATCCTAGAAAACTATGTATCTCTATGATTGAACTAGGATGTTCCCACTTTAACACTACATCTACTTTGTGTGGATCGACTAAAATCCCATTTGCAGAAACCACATACCCTAAAAAATCTAACTTCTCTTAACCAGAATTCACACTTATTGAGCTTAAAAAAAAACTTATTATCTTTTAGAATCTGAAGTGTGATTTAGAGATGCTTGGTATGCTGCTCCTCATTCTCAGAATAAATCTGAGATGGACCTAGTGCTCTTTACTCTTCATTTTACTTCAATTTTCGTTTGAGCCTGAGCATATGTTTAAGTGCTGAGTCGAGCCATCTATCGCAGCCCATGGCATGTCCACTGTGGGGAATGGTATAGATAAGGCTTGGCTAGATTCTCTTCTGCCAGCTGGGCCCAAGTGGCTCAATTCTCTTTTGAACCCAATCCAAAGGTTGTTAATCAATCTAATAGGCTTATTGGTCATCTCTAACCATCCTTAAATTAATTTACTTAATTACCCTTTGTTAATTCATTTTATTGGGAATTTAAAATCCAAAATGTTATGATATACACACACATATATAAACATTAAATTATAATTAAATTCTTCTTTTAATAATTTGCTAGGGGTGAAATTGGAACATGTTAATTAATAATCTTGTATGTTACTTTTATTGAAGAGCAAAGACCAAGAAATAATTCTAAAAGGAGCCCTATAAAGGGGACCGGAGGAAGTATATATTATCGTGTGTGGGAATCCCTCTTGTAAATCTCCCTTCAATCAATTACGTAAGAGCTAATTAACTAATTCACACAAATTAAGAAACTTAATTAAGTTAGTAATTATTTGTTATTATTATATAAAAAATTGTTGTGCTTTTCTTCTCAAACGCCATAAAAAGATTCCTCGTGTATCATCTTGCAAAATTGTGAACGAAAGATAGCAATCTGGATATCCCTCCTTTAATCAAATGAACTGCATGTTGCTAAATTTTTTAAAAAAGTAAACAAGCAAAAAAATTATACAATTAATAAAAATATTTTTTAAAAATAATAAATATGAGAGACAAAGGAGATTTAATTTAATTTTAGGGAGACTTTCAATAAAGGATCTTCGACCAAATTTATTTACATTCAAAGCCCCTCAATTTTTGAAATTTCACTACAATCCAGGGGTACTTATTTAATATTAAATTTTTGATAGAAATGAAAAAATTGCCCTTCTTTTAAGTTAATATCAAAGCTTTCCTACTTCATTTGTTAATTGCCCTATTTTATTTATTCATTTACTTATGAAATATTATTAATTGCTCTACTTAACTCATTTTTATTTTAGGTGTTTAAATTATCTTCAGATAACTTGTTAATTCCTATGATATATGTTATTCATTTACTTATGAACTATTATTAATTGCCCTATTTTACTTGTTCATTACCAAATTTTTACTTGATTTCATTCCAAGGAAATAAATAAGTGAAGTATGGGCAATTAACAATATTCGGCAAGTAAATGAAGAAGTAAAGTAAGACAATTAACAAGTGAAGTAGGGAAGTCCCGATATTAAGTTAAATGATGGGTAAGTTTGTCATTTTCTTATAAATTTAATATCAAATCAATATGAATGACAGTGAAATTTTAAAAATATAGGTTCTTTAAATGCAATTAAGTATAGTCAAAGATTTTTTATTAAAATTCTCCCTTAATTTTACGAAAAATGGCAATCAAAGGCCTTTGTATGAAATTTATATCAATTAAGGATTAGTCATTATTAAAATTCAAATGGATACTTATCAATTTGAATTGGTCTTTTATCAACAAATATATATTTGATTTTTAATAATAACTTATTTTAAATTAACAATATTTCATTTCAGCTTTTTTTTTAAGTTTTGATAAAAAGTGATTCTTGAGTGATATAAATTTCATATGGAGTCCTTAATTGCTATTTTTCCCTAATTCTATGATTTAAATAAAATTCTCGAATAACTCGTACATTTAAATTCAACAAGAGGGAGTCAGTATACATTAGTTACAAGGCACATGTCAGTCTGTCAGAAACATGCACTTGAAACATTAATTAATTGAAAAATATTATTTTGTTAAATCAAACCATCATTATCCAAGAAATTAAAACTACTTTTGGAACAAAGAAAATCCGTTCTATCCTCGAACACCATGATAAGTTCAATAACACTGCGCCCTTGCCTCCTTGGACTTGAACCACATTGGTATATATACCATTCTTTTATCAGACATTAGATGAGACAATGACATCTTTTTTTATATTTATATTTATCGAGTGTTAGATAATACGTCCTTTTATTTTGCTATTTACATTTTGAAAATCGTCTTATGTGTTGTGCGTGTTGCCCGATTGAAAGATCTCTTTTTTAGATAACAAAAAATATTTTAGAACCATGAAAATAATTTATAGTTACATAACTATTTATATTATATTTTTAATAAACAACTATTTTTGTAGAAAGTTATATGATTATTTTCAATTATTATTTATATGATTATTTTTAAATATTATTTGATACTATTTTTTACCTTTCTACACCTATTTAAAAAGGATAAAATATATAAAGATATAAATTTTTGAAGCAACTGCAGAAAATCTCTCACTTTTAAAGGTTTAAAATTAATATAAAAAAGGATGCAGCTGTCCACTGTTTAAAAAAAAAAACAGAACAAGAGGAAATAGATAGGTTGAAATATAAAATCAAGACTTTAATTATTTCTTAAAAGGCTAAATTATATATTACTCCTCTAAACTTTGAAATATATACGCATAACCTCCTTAACTTTTGAAATTTTACGATGTACCCTTTCAACTCTTATATTTATGTAGATAATTTTATATGATTAATTTTATACATTAATTATCTAAATATAACTTAAAATTTGGAAGGTTATTCATATATCAACTGAAGTTCGAGGGGCTTAAATGCACACAAAATAAAGTTTAAGGGGCATATAATTGATAGCTAGGGTTATTTGTATAAACTATGAAGTTCAATGAGGTTTATTATTAACTTTCAAAGGTTAAGGGAGTTATTTTGTATATAGTTCAAAATTTAGGAAATTTTTGTGTAATTTAGCCTTCTTAAAATGACAAGCTTTATGAAATCGAAAGAATTTTAATTTTAGAGGTCAATTCAAGTTGGCACTTGCTTTCTTAATTGCATTAATGTATCTATGGATTGGTTTTGCCATGCACGAGGCAGGAAAATTAAATATTCAGCCTGAAATATTCAGATTCCGACCAAAATCTAACTGGCGTACGTGGAATATTCTAAAATTGTGCTCCTATAGTAATATTCTAAACCCATTCATAACTGTTATGCGTTACCCTTGGTCAACGGAAACTTAAAAAACAAAACACAGAAACAAAAACAAATATTTTTATAGAAGCTGTGAATTTCCTCAATTTGTGGATTGTAGCCGTCTCCCATTGGGTGTGACAATTGACCACTCCAGCAACTAGGGCTACAAAAAGGACTGGACAGGACTGAACTTCAATCTAACTCGGAGTTTGGTCCTTTTCATGAAAAGAACTGGGTTAGGCAACCCGTAGTCCAGTCTGGTCCTGTGAGAACCCAGAGATTAATAGGACCGAACTTGATCCATAGGATTGAGAGACTAATCCTGTTAGTCTAGTACTCACTTGGCCTTTTTTTTTGTTTTTCTTTCTCTATGATAAGCAATAATCCATTTCAACCTAATAAACTTAATTAAGATGATAAAAATACTTATAATCATAATAAATCTATAATGATTTCTAACATTAAGAAAATAATATTTCAGTTACAGTCCAAACTCCAAATGATTTAAATATATAATTTCAACAAAGTTCAACACTACATTACATATATCATGTAATTATCTCCTTAGCTTCAATAGAAGCAAACTCAACAAATTTTCAAATAATTATCTCCTTAGCGTCAATAACACTTGAAGCATATGTCAAAAAAAAAATTATATATACATATATAAAGTGATTAGTAAGTGTAAAAATGCAATATATAAATTAAATTAAGAGACATAAAATTGAATATATTACCTGCAATATTAACCACATCATCAGTCTCTTGAAAATTGTCTACCTCATGAAACATAAAGACAAACTCTGAGAGAGAATGCCTTGTAACTAGCCAATTCTGGGCACAAATGAGTGCTTCAGTCATCTTATGAGATGAAGAACTCCTATAATCATCAATAGCACGTCCTCTAGTGCTAAAAGTTGATTCAAAAGCAACTGTAGATATTGGTATAGCCAATAGATCTTGTGCTATCAAGGAAGGCACTCTGTACTTGGTAGAATTAACCTTCCACCATATCAAGATATCATCATCATCATCATCATCATCATCATCAATAGGGGTGTCCTCAGATGTACTAGCAAAAAGGTATCTATCCAACTCTGATTGGGTATCAATTGATGAACTTTTTTGCTTCTAAGATGCTAACCATCTACGACTAGGGTCTTTTTTACCTTTACTTACATTTGAAGTGTTGGTGTCAAGAGCACTTAGAGAGTTGTCACTACTAGAACTACTTGTATCAGGACTAACTGTTGTAGAGTATTCCTCAAATAGGCGATACAAAGTGTCTTTTGCCTTGTTCTTCATGGACATGCAAAGGTTAGGGGCAGGAAAAAGCTGATCGAATGCATGATTGATATAGGCAAGCTTGTATCAAGGATCGAGAATCATAGCAATAATCAATAAAGGGTTCAAATTATCTCCCTAAGAAGAGGGTCATCAGTTTCAATATTCTCATCTAACAACTCTTGAATTAAAACAACTTGATGGAAGCATGAATGTGCAGTAACTTTCAATGTGCTAGAAAATTACAAAGTGACATCATAAAACACCTTCAAGAACTTAAGAAAGAACCATGCTTTATTCCAAGCTTATTTGTTGGAAGAGCCATTACGCTTAGGAGGAGCTTGCCTAGAGTAAGCAAAAGCATCCATGTTGTCATTAGGTCTAGCACCTTGCCTATAAACATAAGTATCCATGCCACCATCTAAACAAGAAAAGTCACTCTAAGCATGACACTTTAAATCTTTGTTAAAGTAGATAATAAAATCTTCATCCTCATCCTCTAATTTTTCAAATGCCTTTTGAAACTTTAAAGCCACATCCAACATTAAATATGTAGAATTCCATCTAGTACTGACATTGAGGCAAGCAATACTTTTTGTGTCCAACATTTCCAATTCACAAACATCTTTAAATATTTGCAAGCAAGAAAGAGAGGAATGAACATATCTACTAGCATTTCTAATGGACTCAAGTATCTTTCAACTTCTTCAACCTATCATTAATAAATAGATTAAGAATATGTGCAGAACACCATAGTTGAAGATAATAACCACCACAAACAAGACCCCTCCAATTCTTTAGACACCTTTTTAAGTAAGACAAGGTTGTGTCATTGGAAGTTGCATTATCCATGGTTATGGTGAACACATTTTGTATGTCCCAGTTTGATAAGTACCTTTCAATTGTCTTGCCTATCGTATCCCCCTTATAATTCTCAACTATGCAAAAACTGAGAATCCTCTTATGCAAGTTCCAATCATTATCAATGAAATGGGCTGTCAAACATTAGTAATTGAAGTTTTGAACTATTATCCATCAATCTGTAGTGAGGCAAAGATGATTAGTACACTTTTTCAACAAACTTTTCAAGATTGTAATTTCACCAAGATACAATTGCCAAGCATCTCTAGCCACTGTTGTTCTTGAAGGAATTTGAAATCGTGGTTCTAACTCCTTCACAAACTTTTTAAAGCCTTCTTTCTCAACAAGCCTAAATAGCATCTTATTACATATGATGAACTCAACTAGAGCCCTATGACATCGTTTTTAATTGAACATGTGAGGTATTAAGCTTCCCTCTTGCCCACTTGGTGTCACATAATTCAACATAGATTGCTTTGTCATTTGTGTAGCTTTATGTGGATTCTTGAGACACTTTGGTACATGCCTCTTTAAGGATGTTAAACCATGCTTACCTGGGTCACAAGGATAATTTAAATTACAGTACTTGCATGCACTCTAACTTTTCCATTTGTCTCCTCCAATGTGAACTTAGTAAAGTGTTCCCACACTTTTGATACCTTTCTTGTAAATTTTTTTCTCTTTCTACTACCTTTTGTAGCTTCACTTTTACTTACAATTGTTAGAGGAGGAGGACATTCCATAGTAGTTAGGGGTTGAGGAGGAGGAGTAGGTGTCAAAGATGTTCCAAAAGGAGTTGAACTCACACTTTCACAAGTGAAAGGAGATAATTGAGGTTGGTCAATGCTGGATGTTTGCTCAATATCCATCACTTCATAATGATAAAATATAATTGAGAGCATATAATTGATGAGTTAGAATAGCACAATGATAAAAAGGAAATAAAATGGACAAGTGATAATATCACAAAATCATGGCAGGGAACACAAAAGCTAGAAAATGAGAGCACATAATTGATAAGGTGATTGCTAATAAAAATCAATCCACAGAAATGTCCTTCAAATAGATCAGCATAGGCATAGAGAAAAAACTTTAGATAATTGTTGTGTTATGGCAAGTCAATCCAATTCTGTGTAACAAATTTCAATCCATATTAAACAACTTTTAACAAATTTCAAGAATATGCTAGACTTGGGTCAGCACAAGAAATCTCTACAGCTATTTTCAGGTGAAAAAATAAAGAAAGAAGAACAAGGAAATGCCAGACTCAGGTCAACACAAGAAACTTCTATAGCTACTTTTCAATTGAAACTCTACAAGAAACTTCTTTAGAAAATGAGAGCAGAGGTGGGGCGATGGGTAACAGGACATACCTAGTGACTGTGTGCTCGAAGGTGTAAGAATGGCAGTGAATTAGAGGTTAGGGGTAATGGAAAGCAAGGGTGGGGTGATGGTGTGGCGTGCTCGACGATGAATCAAATGTGAGAGGCGACGATAGACACGATCGACAGTGGTGGCATACTAGCAGAGTAACGAAGGGCAGGAGAATGGCTCGAGCGAGAATGAAGAGCAATGAATTAGAGGTCAGGGATGATGGAGACTGGAGAGTAAGGGTCGGCGACGTGATTAACAGTGGTCAGTGGTGGCGTACTAGAGGAGGCAGGGGCTAAGGCTTCAACGCACTGGAGAAACTGAGAATGAGTGCTTGTAGATTGAGACTTGAGTGCGTGGCTGAATGTTGGAGCTGGACTATTGGTGTAAGCCTTTTTCTTTTTTTTTCCAACTAGAGTGTAAATGCAAGACATGAAGACAGTAAGAGTGTAAGACTAATTCACTAACTTATTAATTAATAATTTATAAATTATTTTAATTATATTAAAATAATTATATAGGACCAGACCGGATCACTTAGTCCAAATGCTTGGCCTCTAGTCTAGTCTTACCTGAAAAATCAGTCCTGTCTTTTTGGTTTTTTTAATCTTGTAGGACCAACATTTTATAGAACTGAGTTTTCACAGGTCGGACCGGTTTAGACCAGACCATGAGACTTTTGCACAGCCCTACCAGCAACATTAGCTGAGGCATATATTAATATTTATTAGCAATAATAAAATTTTGAATGTTTCAAATTTGTCTCAGTTATGGATTTAATTCTTCAAGTTTAATTTTTATTGATTGAGTCCTTTATATTGTCTTAAATTTTCAGACTAGTCCCTTATGTTTTAAAATATAAATTTACTCTCAAGTTAATCTAATGTATAATGTATTTTAATAACTTGACATGCATAAATAGTTAATAGGAATAAATTTTCCCTTAAATAAGATTTTAACAATATCACCTAAGGACCACATTGATAATTAAGGAAAACGTAAGAAATCAAATTAATAAAAATTAAATTTAGAAGGACCAAATTAATAATTGAAACAAAGTAAAAAGACTAAGTTTTATTATCCTTGTTTGTCGCTTCTCGGTATCATTGGTCGCCACCAGCTAACCTGGTCTAGCCGCTATATATCAATTACCAGAAGCCACCGTTATCAAAACTGGTCATCATCATCATTACTGACTAATAGCAGTGGTGGTTATTATAGTAAGCCACGGTGTATAACAAACGTGTGTTATAATTAAAGCTAAAAGGGACAAACATAGTAAGGCCAACAACAGGTTAAAACAACCTGGCATTGGTAGTTGTCCAAAATTATATCAGTTTGTATTAACACACGTCTCAGATGATATTATAATAATCATATAAATATTGGTGCAAAACAAAATATGCATATTAAAATAATCATAATCGTCCTTTCGGCCTTTCCTGTAGTTCAAGGATGGTATGACCGAAGCTCTATGATGTACTTTATTAGGGTTTAAAAATGTCCACTAGATAGGGAAAATTTTGGCCTCATCTCTCTGAACAGCTTTTGAAAATGGATGATGGAGGAACCCTACGTTGTGGAGTGTCTTAAAAGGCTGTCTAGGTCTGCAGTAGTCTCTGACCTTCGCTCCCAATAGAGAACTCCAAAAGCCTAAACACAGATTAATAATGGAGAATATTAGAGTTAGGGCTTCCTGTTCAGATGATGTTAGAAAGGCCATAACAGAAGAGCTTCTCAAAGGGAGGGACTTGAGCGAGCAGCTGCTTGAACTTGTTCTTCATCATGATGATGATGAGTCCAATAATATCGGATCATCATCAGATTCAAGCTCCTTAGTATGGATTCATCCATTTGCTCAGGATCTTGTCAGCAGCGTACTCACTTCATTCTCAAACACCCTCCATCTCTTGAACTCCCTTGATCCTAAATCTGGCGAAGATCTCAAGTGTTGCAAAACCAGCAACGGAAGAGGCTGTTATCTGAGCAAGTATTTCCTTACATTTATATATATATATATATATTTTTGTATATTGCCTTCTGTCAAACTTACTTATTCCCGTGTGTGTGTCTATATAACTACAGTATTTCCCTTTGCAGATCAGGAGCAATGCAAACTTGGGAGAAGAAATCTCCAATTCTAGTGGACAATGGCCGCGCCTGAAGGAAATATAGACAAAAGAGTACAAAAGATGCCAAATACCTAAGGTCCTATATTTGTAATATTCATGACTCAGGAGGCAACGTGGCCCGAACCCATATGGGCTTGGGCTCAAGCCCATAAGTTTAGTTATATAAATTAATCAATCATTTTTTGAAGTCTGACTCTTATTCTAAGAGTTGACGCTCAAGCATATAAGTTAGCTTTTATTTTTTATTAATGTTTTTGAATTTTAAAATTTTCAATTATAATATTTATATTTTTTAAAATAAAAGTTATAATATTTAAAAATTAGTACTAAATAATAAAAATTATAATTTTAAAATATAAACATATATTCTAAAATTTTAAATTCAATTTAAAAATTAAAAATATTTTATTTTCAGGGGTAAATCAAAAAGGGACCAAAATGAGCCTCTAAGCCCAAGCTTGTTTTTTCAAAGCTTGGTTTTTTTAAAAAGTATTATTTTTTAAAGTTGAAACACTTATAAAAACGGGTTTATATAGGTGGCTTGCTAGGTCCGACCCTTATTTTTGACTCTTGATATCTTTTACTCTCAGTTTTGGTTTGAATCTGAATTTTGAAAATGAGATGTGGATGCAGGAACTACTACAGATGTAGTCACAAGGATGACCAGGGATGTCCAGCAATGAAACAAGTTCAGAGAGTACGAGAGTGGCCTCCCTTACACCGCACCACCTATTTTAGAATTCATACTTGCAAAACCCATCGTCAATTACTTTCTGAGAAAATCCATTTGGAATATCCCTCTCCTGGCAATCTTTCTGAATCGTCCTTGTTATTGAGTTTTAATAATAATTTTCTCCCAGCAGAGAAAGAGCTGCAACAGGTTTGCATTGATGTGAAGCAAAACCCGGCGTCCCAACAAGGACATGTCACTACTGTATCATCCTCAACCTCGGATCAGTTTTCTCTTGTAAAGGTTCAACCTATTCATGTGGATGATGATGTTTTCAAATGTTCTGAATTCGATGAGTCTGTACAGATTGGTCCAGGGTTTGGTTTTATTAAAGAGACGAAGGCAACACATCAAGGCTGCTTCGTCTTGCATGATTACTGTAATTCCCATTGTAAATTAACATTTACTACCTTTGGTTTGGATGAAAATAAGAGAGATTTAGCTCATTGTGTAACATATTAATTTCAACAATGTGCGTGTTGCAGGGAAAAAAACAAAGAGAAAACAGAACATATTATTCCTGATTTCATTTGCAAATCGAATTAAACTTGGTCGGCATGTCAAGTTAAAATTGCGCCTTGAAAAATTCAAATATTATCTTCCAAAAAATTACTCACACCTTTCATTGCTTTATAATTAATCTATTTTGATGAATTATGAGTAGAAAGAAACGGCATTGGAATATTTATATATCATTTCTCGTCTAAAAGGATCTATTTATTCTCTTATTGGATAGTAACTAACATTTAATTCCCCATACGATCCGCGGGAAGAAAGGATGGACCTATTTCAAGCATAATGGGGGCAACCGAACCATGAATTCCTCTTAATTATGATTAGGAAAAGAATTTTCCCTTGCCCCTTCTAAAAAATTGTCTTGGACCCCTTAAAAAGACTTCTCTGACTTCACCCAAGTTTTTTTAAAATTCCAATATTCACTTCTTCAGCATTTTCTCATTCATTCAACCAAGAAAGTTAATGCCATTTATATTGTTAACTTTGTAGGAGGTAGAAATATTAGTGCTTGAGTAATTAATAAAAATATTAGTTTGTATTATAAAACAAAGTATAAAGAATACAATAAATATTATAAAATTTTTTTCAACTCCTCAAATAAAATATTTAGTAATACTTAATATCTAAAAGATAATAACATTAGTTTTTTTTTTAATTTCTACTCTTTCGTGTATAAAAGTAACCCTTTCCAATAAAATAAAAAATAATTTTCTGTAATTATTTATATTGAAAATACTTATTGATACTTTTCACCTTAACAAAAATTGGACGATATTAATAGCAAATATTTATACTGTAATATTTTCAATATAAATGTTCCTTGTATCCAGATAATTTTGTTATCTTAAGTTAGTATTATTTAACAGTTGTTTCTTTTTTTTTTTTTGGCCTTATGTGTTTACTTTAGATTATTATATTTTTATATTAATTTAATATATATTTAGAATTATATTTTTGTAATATTAATTTTTATTTGGTATAAAATTTTGTCCCCATTAACAAATTTTTCTTGGCCCGTCATTTAGGCCGGGAGGAACTGACTTCAGTAAAATATCATGCATTGGCATCAATTAAAATTATACAGCAAATCACAATCAACATAACTGTGAAGGAAAACAATAACTTCACAATGACTTTGTTTGGACTGAAACGTTGCACTACTAGGCCGAAAGGTAAATCTATTATGGCCCAACTTGGAAGAAACCTTGTAGCAAGCCCGTTCCGCAAGTTTATTAACGCCGAACCTTGGGAGAGTTAGTGAAAGCATTCCAATGGAGTAGCAACTTGGTCCTAATTATAAGGCCGTTCCCCACTTCTTGCAATTCAGAGCACTCACTTCACCACGTTCCTTCAACGAAGCACAACAATAACCCTGGGGTTAGTGCGAACAGTTAACGTTCCTCTAGGCAAGAGAAATTCAAATTTGAAGTGGCGTGCTTTTGCCCATTTGTATAAAAGGCAACGAGTGCATAATTAACTGGAATGTCTCTCTTGAACTCTTTCAACACTCAAAACAACTCAACTGCTTTAAGCAAGCTCAACTAACCCAGCGTCAATTACAATCTCACCTAGCACGACCCCTAATCCTTAGTCTAGACCTTCTAGGCATATTGCATTGCTTTTTCCTCTTATCATCAGAGCATCCTTAGTGTAATTACCTTTTAGTAATACACTAATATTCCTACATGTACATTGTAAATACCGTATTTTGTCTAAACATTTTTTAAAAAAAATAAAAAAATTGACTAAAAAATAAAAAAATACAAAAACAAAATTTAATTCTTTTTAGGACTATATTTTCAACAAAAAAAAAATCTTTAATTAATAAGTTTAATTCCTTTTTAACCTAGATAATCTTTTGTGAGTTAGGATCTTATTTCTTCTAAAATAACTAAAAATATAAAAAAAAAAATTTAATTCTTTTTTAGAATTATATTTTAGAAAATATATATATAATAATTTAACAAAAAAAAAAGAAAGATAAAATCTTGAAAAAGAAAATCTCTCCCAAATTATTCCAATCATTCAAGAATATTGAGAGTATACTTTTGAGAGTTAACTTTTCTCTCCTCAAATCTTTTTTTTCATTTAAATACATATTTTATATAATATATATATATATATATATGTATGTATGTATGTATTTAATCAGAATTATTAATAAAAAAAAGAAAGCTAGACGAAACATGTAACAGCCCTCCTGGGTCACCACTGCCTCTCCAGGGTCTTTTCCCAGGCGCTGGACAACACACATGTCACCACATGATTGCCGGCTTTCCCACTGGTGGTACAGTGGTTATTCCTCACCCCACCCTCACGGGGGTCTTTTGGAACCTCCCCAGACTCGAACCTCCAACCTCTACCACCTTAACAAAGTTGAGGCTAAGTCTGGTACCATTGAGTCAAGTATGTAACACCTTCAAATTTACAGACCGATTTTTCACAAGTTATTAATTCAACAAATCCTTTTTTTTTATATTTTTTTTTCATTGAACCCTTATCATGGTAGAAAAATTTCTACCACGATACATCCAAGACAATATACCACAGGTCTTAAAATATCTTAAAAAAAACAATTAGAACTATGAGGGACAGACATGATCCTCATAGCATGTTATTCAAATCAGATCATAAATCAAGAGCGACAAACATAATCTTCTTGGTCATATAAATACTTTTAATAAAAAGGATTAGAGTTTACATGCTTCACAAAGAAGATATGTCCTAAGTTGGCACAAGATACATTGTATAATCTAAAATAAGAGGCAACGTAAAAGATGGTGTCTCATACACCACAGTTACACCTCTGGTGCTTTCTCGGCCGGACTCGCTCCTGTAAAAATATTAACCACGGGGAATGAGACTTAAAAGTCCCAGTAACCAAAAATTATATATGTAATGATGCATGCGGATGTAACTAATCATGCCATTGCTAAGTGGGCACACAAAACATTTAACCGAACAATACTTTCAAACAAACCGAACAAGTATTTAATTTGCATGACTGCACCTTATATCCTCCTTTCGCCATGCTCGGACGCCAAATCACCCGGCCAAAGGTGAGTTGGACCAAGCGACACGCCACTCATTGGATCCAATGAGGGCTTACCACGTGGTAATAATTAACCGAACAGAAATTCTCATTAACACCATACATTAAAATACCCTGACAAGTCATGCATCATTCAAATATCCAAACAGGAATATATCCGAACAATAATATCTCATCATGATAAACAAAAATAAATTTTTAACCCACTTGGCAATAATTTCAAACAAGTATATACAGTATTTATTTTCAATAATTCATAATTTTTCCAAACAACAAAACAACACATAACCATTCACAAACACACTCATCACAACACATTAATAATGGTTACCTTGTGTCTTGAATAACAAGTTCCCCTTCACAACTCCTTTTTCACCACTATCTTTGTCAATATAATCTACATAATTATTTCACAATACTATATATTAATTTTACATTAAAATAAATAACTCTAATTTAAAGAGTTAGAAAGTCTTAGATCTATAGTCCATATTAACACTAATTTAAGATTTATGCCTCATTTAACTTCCCAAATTCTTTTCTAAAATTCTCGTACCCTAATGAACTATTTTTTTTATCCTCAACTCACTTCTAGTATCACAATTTCATCCTTCTATATTCTAAAAATTCATCCAAAAATAAATAAAAAATTTTAGAATTATCCTGAAGCCTCAAATCACCTTTCTATAACCTCAAAAATACCTATTCATACTTAAATAAATATTTAATAAACATAGGTTTATCCCTACGTCTCAGATTCCACATAAATTCAACCATATAGATCTAGATTTTAACTCAAAAATTTTTAAACATGAGTTTCAACCTTAAAAAAAATATTCTATAATATTTTTTATATCCCTAAGAATTTTAACCTATATTTTTAATCCATCATATCATCAGATTAACTATCCTATAGAAAAATCCTAATCAAAATATTTACTCTATCCTACAAAATAATCATATCACTAGAAAGCTAATATTATTTAGAAAATAACTATAAAATTAATTTTGTAATTAAATAAATTTTTAAATGCTAATCTAAACAGGAAAGTTAGAACATACCTGAAGAAAAAGAAAATAATCCCCCCTTGTAAGAAAACGCCGAGCAACGTGAGAGGAAGAGAGAAAAATAATATAAAAATGGGATTGTGAGTCCCAAAATTATATTAAAAAAAACTATAGGTTTGAATTTAATTATTCAAACCTTTGGGCCAAAAGTTGCAATTTTCTCTAAATTGCATCTTAGCCTCTCATGCTTCCTAATGCACACACCCCCTCCTTTTTATACATGAAGGCACCTCTTCTCTTCCCTCATCTAACCAATGTGGGACTTAGAAACAACAACCTTCCACCCCCCCTTTTTTTTCTTCCTTCTACCTTCTCTTTTTTTTTTCAATACATACATAAAAACAAATTATTTATGTATTATATCTTAACTAAATATTGCTTATGTGATTTTAAATTTAAATTTTTAAATTCATAATTAAATACCTAACCATAATATTATTTCTAAATAACCTCAAATAATATAAATTCCTATTATTATCATTTTTTTCCTCAAAACCTAAATTCCACAATTTCTTTATTATATAAAAAATAAATAGGGCATCCTTCTTAGTCAGCTTAGTTAAGGGCATCGCAATTTGCGAAAATCCCTTAATAAAGCGACGATAATAACCTGCTAAACCTAAAAAGCTTCGTATCTCTGTAACAGATTTTGGCTGTTCCCACTTCATTACTGCATCAATCTTGCTAGGATCCACCGCAACTCCAGCTCTGGACACAACATGGCCCAAAAACTTTACTTCTTGGAGCCAAAATTCATACTTGCTTAATTTGGCATAAAGCTTATTTTCCCTCAAAACTTGCAAGACAATTCTTAAATGTTCACCATGAGCCTCCTCATCCTTTGAATAAATAAGAATGTCATCAATAAACACTACTACAAACTTATCTAAATAGGGTCGAAAGAT